AAAAAAAAAAAAAAAAAAGAAAAAAGAAAGAAAGAGAAATCGTAGAAAGACCAGTGGGATATTATTTTTATAAATTTTACACGTACTATAACGAGAAGTTCATGTCCGTGAGACGATATCTAACAATAAATAATATACGAGCGATGTTTGTCCAGATGATGATTAAGTGCCCAGATACATCTTGCAAATGAGAGATACAACAAAAGAATGTAAAGAGCCTAACGATAACGTTTATTTCGCTCTATAGTGCACATATGACCTGATTTTTATCGATATTGTCACTAGCCGATCATAAGTGTAAATAAAATGATTTTTAGGAGTAGTTGTAATATGTATATTAGAATTGGTAACTCTGCTGGATTGTTCTTTTTCTAGAATATTTGTTTTATAACATCATATTTATTTATCGAATAATGATTAATATGAAAATCTCTCTATGACAACATCACATCGAATTAACATTGATTGATTTTGTTGCTAGAAGTAGCACAATTCACTCTTATGAAAAAGAAAGTATTAAATTTTATATTTTTTTTTAGATATAATTAAAATTTTTAATGCGTGTTATCGTTACATAAAAGAATGAATTTACGTACTTATCAGTATATAACAATCGTGAGAGTACCAATGCTAATTAATAGCATAATTTGATCAGTGGAATATAACAATCGTAAGAGTACCAATGCTAATTAATAGCATAATTTAATATCATTTAAAACGTGAGAAGAATACCTGCCAAAGAAGACTATATAGTCTCGATTCTTCCATTGTAAAAAAATGTTTTCGATCTATTGAAGATAATGAGGATTGCTTATTGTTAATTGGCATGGAAAATTATTAGTTTTTATATCTGCATAAAATTATTGTTTTTTTCTTTCAAAAAACATATTGTTTGTTATTCAAAAAGATACCTAATAAAAATTGGATACCATCTTCCATAATTTATTACATTTTTCTTGAATAGAAAATCTGCTCAAAATATTATTTACTATATAACTGAACATATAGGTATAAATGTACAATAACTTATATTTATAACGTGAATTAATGTATATAATTGCTCTTTAAGATAACATAAATCACAACTGTAAAATTATTAATAAAAGAAATGCAAACACGTAATTATGATCAAATATAGCTGTGGATCAACATAACATTAATATTGATAGCAAGATAAACATTGGCATGGAGAATAGAAATTAGTGAAGTTTTCGATTTCCTGCACATATTAAAATCATTATTTATAATTTAAACAGCTTTTGGAGCAACAAATTAATGCAAAAAAGCAAGAAGTTGCGGGTATTCCTAATAATTATTTTGTAAACATAACGTAATGTATAAATACACCAGTGATCATGTAAATACACGATGTTTTAAATTTTTATGTGAAAACAAAGTTACTAAATCGTAATAGTGATCGAGTAGCTTCATTATTAATAAAGTGTAGAGTATTAGCTTCTTCATCTTATTTGTTGTTTTGGGGAGCAGTAAATTTATGTTACGTAATTTCCTTTTAATATAAATGTTATATTAAAAGTTAAAACAGATCTTATTATTTCTCAGGATCCTCATATGACAGTAACTATAAAAAAAATTTTTAAAAAATTTTTTCCATTACATGTCAATTTAAATAAACTTTTTTAAATTTTAGGTATAATCTGTATAATCTATATTGTATTCAATTTTTATGGCAAAAATGTAAAAGAAAATATCACATTAACGAACTAAAAAAGAAAAAATCAGCTTAATTCCTTATTTTATTAAATGAATAAATAATATTAATACGTATTTCATTAATGTACATCTTAATGAAACATGTAAGCTATTGTTAAAAAATGCAGATATTATACATGCTTATTTTTTATAAGACCTATTTTTTATATCATCCATATAAATAAAAAACAAGTATTTGTTAAACATAATGGGGAGTAAAATTTCTTAAATATGAAAAAGTATTATTTTACTTTACCCACTACCAAATTTTTCATTTATGCATATTTCTTTTCGAAATTCTTTTTGAAGGATTTCTCATGAATTTTATGTATTTGATTTAGATCAGAGTTTTTTATTTTTTATTCTCAGTTAACATTCTGTGTGAAATGCGCGCGTATTGAGTTTAAATTAGCGATTACAGCGCTAACAGTGAAATAGGCAATACACTTCCGATTCTCGAAATAATCGATTTTTAAGCGGGAAGCATGGCGGAAAGAAGCACATCTCATTTGTAAAGAAGAAAGTATTATCTAGAAAAATCATCCTGAAAGAAGTATCATTCATAAATTCTTAGGTAAAAATTAAACTCAACAGCTGTTAGATTTGTGTTTGTGTTGTGTACTTTTAAAATAAAACTTGCATTTTTAACTTGAATTCAAATCTGCTTGAATTCAATTCTAACCAGTACAATTGTTGTGACGTTGACTAACTTACAATTAATCGATGTTTTTGCACGCTCAGTAGGTGGTGAGTTTTTTTTACTTTCACCAGTTCTTGATACTAGAAAACCTCTAAGGATAACGTAGATTAAATATCTTGGCGGAAAGATTTGAATATGAATTTTAACACTGATTGTTAGTAAAAGATTATATATTGGTGAACGAATGTAATCACATTTTGGATAAAAAATTGTCGATTTTTAAACCGTCATTATTTTATGAAAGAAAATATAGAAAAATGTCATGATATTTTCCAATATGAAGCATTACTTTTTACAGTTCTGAATTCGTTTTCTGAGAGATAATTTGATTCTATGTATTGTATGTATGTAATAGGTGGGAAATTAATATTTTTTTTTGTTGAAAACTGTAAAAATTCAAATTTCTTTAAAATCGCTGAAAACATTTTTTTTGTGATCAGATTTACTATAATGTTGTCTAGAGTCTCCTTTGTCTTGACTAGTCTCCCTTTTACAATGGCACTTTAAAATCTGTTCTACAATTTTTTTCGCCTTCTTTTATTGAATTTGTTATTTTATTAGAGCTACGCGATGAAACATATGTGTGAGGATGCGTGTGTGAGACAATTGCAAGTGTGTTGCGTGATGCGTTTTTGTTCAGAAGCGAACAGAGGAGTATTCATTGCGAGTCTGAGATAAGTGATATTGATTGGAGAGTAAGTGAATTCATAAGTGATAGTTATTATATACGTTATTCAATTTATATATATATATATATTAAACATATTAATTAAGAGTGTGTTTTTTATTTAATTCACTCACAGTTCAGCCCTAATATTTAAATAAGATAGTGAAAAAGTATCGTACAGCTAGTTTTAAAAGCTCAATTAGTGTATGAATATTTTCGTTTTTCTCTGACAATTTCTCATGAATTTTGTGTATTTGACTAAAATTTTTTATTTTTTGTTCCAAATTATCATTTTGTGTGAAATACACGATTACAGTGCCCCAATGGTGAACCACACAATATACTTCCTACGATTCTCGAACATATCGATATATCTCACGATCGATTTTTAAGTGGGAAGTATGGCGGAAAGAAGCACGCTTTATTTGTAAAGAAGAGAGTATTATCCAGAAGAATCGTCCAGAAAGAACTATCATCCAAAAGTTCTCAGGTAAAAATACAAATCAATAGCTGTTAGATTTATTGTGAATTTTTAAGATGAAACATGCATTCTTGGCTTTAACTCAAGATAAGATTTAACCAAATAATTATTACATATAATTCTCAACAATTAAAGAAATAATGGCATTTAAATAGAACATACTATATAAAAGTTATTTATAATTTTATATCAAAATTTAATTTTAGTTTTAACCATTACAAATATTGTAACCTTGTAATTAATTAACTCATTGTTATATATGTAGCGGCTAGCAGATGTCGGAGAAAGACGTTTTCTCAGACAAGAAGTTTGGGGAATTTACGACTCATGTGTCGCTTGCGCTATTGAATTAGAAGGTCAAGTTTAGTTCTCACAGTGCGTAAGACCAGGCGTCCGCACTTATAGTTTTAGAAATTCGGTCACAATAGCATCTCTGCGAAGCGTAAACTCTAGGTCTCCTAAGGGCCCATCCAGATCTGCGTCTGGAAAACACTTGGAGAAAGTAAATCAGGGAAATCGGTCCCGGCGAAATTGCAGCCCCACTTTCGAATCCAAGCGCGTCACGAACGCAAGGAGTAGGTGGTGCAATTTCATTTGACAATCTAATTGGCTAAAACTCAAAAACGACTCGGTCAATTAGGGATGTCCGAGACGGACCGAGAAGGACCGAGTTTTCCTAATAGCAAAGAAGGCAGCGAGCTTTCAGAAAATTCGGAGAGTCAGAGTAGACAGATAGATATTTATACATTTACACAGTTTTAGTCGGAGATTATAGTGGAGCGGCGAAGATAGCTACGAGAAAAGCGGCAATGATAACGGTGTTGATAGCGGCGAGGATAAGAAAGTGGTGCGATGTGTTTATATTGACGCGGAGATAAGTGAGGAGTGAAATGCTACAGCGAGCCGTTCTCCAGATGCCTTCAAGGAAGCAGCAAAAACTCGTGCTTGGAAAAAGTGTTTTAGTTAAATTTCACATATTGTTACGGCAAGCTCGGCGGTGAACGTTGGTTGCTGCCCGGTTCGCTAGTTGCTCTCTCGTCGTGCCTGTTACAGCCTCCGGAGAGATGTTTTAATGAATGAAGACGTGATGTAGAATAAATCCCTTTATTCNTCAACTAATACAATGACTGAATTGAGTGAGGGAATGAGTGGCCGACGCGGAATCACTCTGACTGATTTGGTGTAAAATGAAAGTGAATGTATAACTGACGCGGAGTCAGTCCTCGGACGGACTGCGTGTGTCTCGTGTGTCTCCCTGAATGGTCTATTGGTGACTATTTTGAATCCTCTCTTCGCTATGTCTACGTCGCCCTTTTAATTGGTAGGCGACTTTCTGGAGCCGGCCAAGGCGCCTTGTTTATGCCCTACCGAGCCTTTCCACATACTGTCTCTCTCTCCAAGGCCAGAGAAAGTGTCCTTGGATGAGAGG